GACACTTGTTTGGTTTCACCCTACAACGATAGTCCTGCTGGACACGTGTTTGGCTTCATCCTACAACGATAGTCCTGCCGGACACGTGTTTGGTTTCACCCTACAACGATAGTCCTGCAGGACACGTGTTTGGCTTCACCCTACAATGATAGTCCTGCTGGACACGTGTTTGGCTTTACTCTACAACGATACTCCTGCTGGAAACTTGTTTGGCTTCACTCTACAACGATACTCCTGCTGGACACGTGTTTGGCTTCACCCTACAACGATAGTCCTGCTGGACACTTGTTTGGCTTCGCCCTACAACGATAGTCCTGCTGGACACGTCTTTGGCTTTACCCTACAACGATAGTCCTGCTGGACACTTGTTTGGCTTCACCCTACAACGATAGTCCTGCTGGACACTTGTTTGGCTTCACCCTACAACGATAGTCCTGCTGGACACTTATTTGGCTTCACCCTACAACGATAGTCCTGCTGAACAATTGTTTGGCTTAACCCTACAACGATAGTCCTGCTGAACACTTGTTTGGTTTCACCCTACACCGATAGTCCTGCTGGACACGTGTTTGGCTTCATCCTACACCGATAGTCCTGCCGGACACGTGTTTGGCCTCACCCCACAACGATAGTCCTGCAGGACACGTGTTTGGCTTCACCCTACAATGATAGTCCTGCTGGACACGTGTTTGGCTTCACCCTACAACGATCGTGTCTGGCTTCACCCTACAACGATAGTCCTGCTGGACACGTGTTTGGCTTCACCCTACAATGATAGTCCTGCTGGACACGTGTTTGGCTTCACCCTACAACGATCGTGTCTGGCTTCACCCAACAACGATAGTCCTGCTGGACACGTGTTTGGCTTCACCCTTCATCGATAATCCTGCTGGACTCGTCATTACGAAGATATAAAAAAAGGAAATATTGAGGACCTTTAATCATTAATTTCCAAAGTAACAAATCTTTCACTTGGCGTCAACTATTTAGTTTCATGAATTCTATAAAAAATATTACGCCAGACAATTGACCAAACATGAAAAAGACCTTTACTCTTTGTAAGAAAAGATGAAAAGTATGATATAAAATAAAATCTCGCATTAAAAAGTTAAGAAGCAAAATGAAACAATTTATTCTTTAGTTTTCAATAATTCAGAAATGAAAAAGATTTAGATTTCACGCGTACCATCAATATACTTTGACGAAGTAGGAAACATTGTTTTTCGGACTCAACATTTTAATTGTATTTCAGACGATCTTGCATATAACTTTGTAAATGGTAGCCCATATTACACATAGTTGCCTTTTTTAGGAAAATAGTCTTCAAAATCAAATGTTTTAAAATATTTTTGATATTATCAACAGTCTAATCAATTTTAAATTAGAATTACTATACCTATACTGGATTCTATCACTAACATAAAATCGTTACAAAGCGCAGGTTCCAGTTAATATTCTACCAAGTTTCTTTCTTCACTCTTCATCAAAATATAAAAGGAGTGAAGGAGAATTAAATTTGAGATATTGCATAAATCAGACGTAGATTCTTGAAAACTCGTATAGCTTTAAGAAAATTAAAATCGTGAAATTTTATCAAAATTGACCACATCAAAACGTACAGTGAACGACTTTTCAACCTTTATACAGCTTCTTCTCACAAGAAATTTAATTCGAGATCTTTGACATCATATACACTGCTTTTTTAATAAAAAAAAATGAAACTCATAAATTTACCAACCTTGTCATTTTTTATCTGCAAAATAATTCTGAACAATGATTTTTTGAAGATTACAGTAAGTCCTAAATTTTTAGTAAACATATTTTTGTACTTATATACATGTAAACTGAATTTATATATAAAAACAAACCTCTGTCTGTGGCCTTCGATTCAAAATTTAGATAAATTGATTTCGTTTTATCAATAAACAATGTTCATTTTCATCCCTGTGTTGATTCAATTTATACTAGAATATATATCCCTCTTAACTCGAAATAAAAGACCACAGTTCCTGACATCTCTTAATTTGCCAGAAAAAGACATAAATGGCAACCTAATAAACTTTTATGATGAACATGATGTCTTTAACTTTTCTATATTCAACTTAAATTCTTTTTTATGTAGTGTAACTTTATTCAAAATTATAATTGTGGAATAATCAATCCATACAATTGTGACAGATTAGGTTTATTTACGTTTTCATAATTATTACATTTCGATCCCGATGTAAACACGTTTTATTTGGAAACGCCCACTTTTATAATAAGGTTTTTGACAGTTTCTTTATATATAAAGCTATGTAACTATTAGATCGGGGAGGGAGACAGCTGGTTTCGCTAGCTAAACTCTTCATATACTGGAATCGTCCCTTGTTCGTCTGTCTTAATTAAATTATATTACTACTTAGGTTAGACTATATTTGGGTTAATAGACCATATTTGGGTTATAATTGCATAACTATTTAACGTACTTTAAGATTGGTAATAAATTGTAGTCTTGTTAATCTTATTTTCTTTTATAGTTCATTACAATTTTATTTCCAAGGTATAATCTAATGTAGGTCTTATATTCAGAAAGTCGTCTCAAAACAAAAATAAACACAACGCGAAGTACAGGCTATATGAACACCAGACCTGCTACACAATCAAATAATAATAGTGCAAAACACTTGATAATTTCAATGCACATTAACAGAACAACAGAAACATCAGTCACATTACAAAACTTAAATTATTTAAAAGTTTATGTAATCAAGTAAAATACTAAAAAGTGTCAAGAAATTTAAAATATTTTTTGGCTGAGGCCAAATTTTACGAATATTTTTTACACATACCATCGTGCGGTTCCAGTGTCAAGGTGTAAGTTGAAGGAAGTTTTAAATTCTTCCATTTTTAGAACCAGAGGCCAGTTGTACATGTACAAGACCAGGTTTTATATTGTGCCAAAAGATGCAAAAACAATACTTCACGCAACGCTGCCGTCCTTAAAATGTTAACCACTGTTTCGCCATTAACGGTAATAAAGCCAAAGGCGGTGAAGATTGAATAAGTTTTTAATAAGGTCAAACAAAATGTTATCGGGAAGAAAAGGGTAATTAACCATAAAAAAATAGATAATGGCCGGTGAAATGACAGTCATGCTAAATCATTGGCTGTTGTGGAAGCCAAGCGACTAATATAACTGAAGCGATAACAAATGTGTCATTTCGGTTTTTTTCTGCGTTTGCAACAGCCTAGTCAACCTTGCTTTGTATATTGCCTTTTAATGACTGCACTAAATTGTCCCAAATGTTTAATTTTATCGGTCCTGTAATTCTTAATCTGGAGGCAGTGGAACTTGATAACAGGTTGCTTTTCGTGTTGGTTTCCCTTTGCAGTCTTTGATGATGTTATGGAGAAACAAAATCCTAAAACATTCTATTTGGACCTTGCTTCATGGCTAGATCTCTTTCATTGACACTTTAGAAGTTTATAATAACAAGGCTAAAATGGCATTGCGTTCAAAGTGATGCTGCCAATGCTGACATACTGTAGTTATTATCCTTCGATCATGATGGTTCATAAAATATATTTCTGCTTGTTATGTCATAGAAATGCTTAATTTTTATCTATCTTCCTTTTTTCATTGCGTGGACCCTGAGGTCCACGCAGTAAATATATAAGCGAGGTTAAACCGGATGCCATGGGCAAACGACAGGCTACGCATGCGCGAGAATGCTGGAGAGTTGGCACCTTAGGTAACTAGCTGGTTCCCTGTCCCTGTTTTGCTTCGTATACTCTGCGTCACTTGGCAAGGATGAGACAGGGGACTAGGCTACTTAGGTAATTTGCCCGTAGAATAATTCGCCCTATTCAAATTAGAATATGCCATTCATTAGGAAATTACACTTTTTAATCGGCATATCGCATTAACATTTTCATTGGCGGATCCGAATTTCCCTGTAGCATTTTAAAAGGTAGGAAGAATTTGCAATATATATAGATACGTTTAACTTAACAACTTGAATGAAAAACGTCATTCAACGACTAGTTGTAGTTTTTAAAAGATAGAACAAGTTTTCACCGGCATTAGTTTTGTGCATCAAGGCTCGCAAAATATTTTTTTTTATTTCAGCAATCCAATACCTTTTGATAGAGGTCTATCTATAGCAACGGCTTTTAATGCGTGTATATGAGGAGGGGGGGGGGTCCGAAAAAATCTCCGTGCTACAGAGCTGTGATACACGTGAACCATCGGATCTCTATTTTTCCCCTGATAGATTTCTTCCCCATAAATCCAGAACAGGTGTCAAGTCCCAGTCATTATGGGTTACATGTTAAAAATAGCCCGATTTTTGAAACTGACAAAACTAAAGGTCGCTAATCGGAGATAAGTAGGCAGATCATTGTGGAAAATGAGAACAAACCAGGTTTTACCTACATGAATATTCACTACACCTTGAAAATTTCGTAATTGAATTTGGGTAAAAAAAAAAACATGCATATGGTCCACTTATTGCAGTCCTTTTTTAAAGGACAGCAACTTGTTTCTTAACTATTGATCTATAGAATTATTACTACGGTTAATAAGACAAATGCCACGCAATCATTTTTTAAGGCAAAGAATCCCTTATATGTTCGATCGTACAAGGAACAGTCTTCACATATTTTTAAACAAATGCGCTGCGAGGACAATTTTCCATATTTGTAAGTTTTTCTTACTAAATCTTTTCTTCGTAAAATCTTAAAGGAAATTTTACATGTGCTTTCTGTGTAGAAACCTAAAGAAAGCGCTGATCGCCGGCTGTTCATTTTCTCGATTGATCCGAGTTATGAACAATTAATGGCTGCAGTGACAAGGTGGGAAGTCATGCCACTACAAAGGAGCCGGTAACACTCTTTGCTCTGAGTTTATTGAATATTGATATTTTTTTCATTAAAACCACATTACTTATCAATTACCAAAGCAAGTAAATGCCTTGATTTCAGCGTAAACATTACTACAGAGTTCATATGAAATAAGCGAGAACATTTAATCGATTACCATAATACGTGATCTTGTCTTTCGTTCAATCATCAATCACCCAGTCCGCTGTACAAAGCGATCAGCGAAGTGTAATAACTTTTGGAACGTTCTGTAGATAAAGTGAGCGTATTAAAGGTACATAGAGATCCTTACACGTGCTATTCTTCGTAGGAAGTTATAGGACCAACAATCCATTCCCCTGCAAGAAGAAGTTTCCGATCCATGCATCGTCAAAATGGATAAAACACTTTTGACTGGACACCAAAATTTGCTAACAGTGGACAGTGGCTATCATGGACGGCGGAGGAATTCGGCGACACTTCTGACTCCAGGAGCAACAAGTCCTCTCCTACAAGTCCGACAAAATGCTCCACGACGAAACAGCATGCCAGAAAATGTTTACCTCAATGGTGACAATTCTTTGGATTTGGAACGAGTAAGGTCATTTCGAATGACAAAATCTGGTATTGTGAACAGAGGTGATAGGATTCGCCGAAAAAGTACAACGAGTATTAGTTCCGCCGGAAGTAACGTCAGCGGTGCTAGTTTTCAAGATGTGACAGCACCTCATCCTTTGGAAATGAGTGACGGAGAAATGAACTCTGACCCCGAAAGTTTTTCTGTGGCAATATTAGGAGCGCAAGGGGTTGGTAAAAAGACGCTGAAAACGCAGTTTATGACATCGGAGGCTATTTGTACCAGCAACACCTCAATAGGTAAGGTAAACTAATATTCGACAATGTAGCGAGTCCTGTTAAAAATAAAACTTGAATACATGTTCCAAAGAGTGTAAACAAATAAATGTTACCGCCAACTGAGCAAAGAAGAAGAAAGTAACAGTGTAGTCGTTTTTATGTTAAATATGAAGTGTACTGTTGCTAAGATGAACCACTAAAATATGTAAATTTTCAATTTAAGCAATGAATTCTTGAAAAAATAGCACTACATTCAAAGTTATAAAGAAAAAAAAGTAACTGACAGTGTATTGACTCATAAAATAAGTTTAGTAAACATAATTTGGATCTATATTTAGATTTATTATATCACATTTCTAAAATGTATTTCTTCTATATCGATAGTGAGTGTTACATGTATAATACATGTATCAAATGTCATGTAAACCAAATTTCCGTATGAACATTTGTGTTTCTCGCTATCAAACAAAAAATTAAATTTACAATAAGTACAAATTTTATTTAACATTACCGAGAAGAATCGGCATAGCTATTTTCTTTATAAAAAAAAAAAACCACGTCGTTGATTGAATACAATACATAAAAAAAATCCATGTGAATTACTTTTAGGGACCAATGCCTGGTGAAATATAAATTTTTATGCAGATGTTGCCAGGGTGATGGGGATTGTAATTCAAATTTATTGTGTTTGGTCATCTAGTAGTCAATAAAAAATCACGATGAAAGGAGAGGAAAATGTAAATTACCTTTAGTAAGCTTTTGTCGCATTAATACTTGTGGAATTTAATATAATGCTACTTTATCACAGAATGTAACTGTTAAACCAACATGTTATTATTTAAAATAATAAAACACGATTTTATCGATTTTCTGTTAATATACAGACAACCTTTTCCAAAAATAAATTGCACGTGTTGCATTTGTCAAGTGATTTTTCAATGAAAACACGTTTTTGAACAGGAAACAAAATATTTAGGTAATTCAAATGCATACTAGTTTTCGAACCACTCTGTAGTTATTAATGCTGAGAGGCGTTGTCTTTTGTGTAAGTTACTTTTGGAATAAATCTTGTTTTTGCTTTCTTTTAAATGAATAAAAAAAGTTACATTGATAACATAAAATGCAATCCACAAGCTTTGTTTGAGTCATCAATTTCAATATTTCAGAGTAAATTTGAATTGCACAAATTCCCTTTTCTCCTGACACTTCTTTTAAAAACCAAATTAATTAAGCTGTATTTTCTTCCAGCGCATTGCGACCTTCGCATAACTAACTATTGGACGGAAGTAAGTCTTCAGTGCTACATTGCAAATCCATGCAGAACGTCGTCTCTCAAATATCATTATCGCATGTTACAAAGGTTTATTATATACCCATCAATTTCCTTGTTTTTGTTACTGTTAATTTTACAGAGGTTGATCCGGTTTTCCGGATCACCACACTGGTTTTCTGAATCCATATCACGACTCTCTGAAACTGATAACGTAGTACGCGAAAACTTGACGTTATTTTTCTTGCGCGTTAAAAAGTCCCTTGTTATTAAGCTTTGTTTTATGGATAAATATTATACAACATGATCTCTAAAGTTTTATTCTGCTATATTTAGCTAGTTATAAGGGGGTATATAATAAATTTATCATTATAACAGTAACTTGATCCGAAGAGCCGTATCACGTCTCGTTGACAGGCGCGGATCATCAGATCTAACTCGACGCTTCGCGTCTCGTTACATCTGATGATCCGCGTCTGTCAACTCGACGTGTTACGACCCTTCGGATCGAGTTACTGTTATAATAATATATATATATATTTGACACTTGCTCAGTCGCTTGAAAAATGAAATTAATACCCTACTGAAAAAGACTTAATGTTAAAGAAGTGAAGCAAGTATGTGAAATATTTAAGCATAACATGTTTAAAAAGGCTAGTAGTATGAAGAATTTGTCTTTGAAAATGGCCAAGTTGCATTATAAGCAATATATTCAGACAGTCTTTATATGTGTCTAATAAACAGAAATACATTTCACTGTCAATGAAATTACATTTCAATGTAAAACGTAGACCTATCACCCTGTGTCCTATTCTTACATTTATTGTGATCGGCTTTGGTCGATCATATTTTAATTTCAAGTGAGAAATCCCAAAATTGTAACCATATGCGCTACTTTCTTTACTTTTTCTCGGACTTGCTTCATGTAAATTTCCAAGAAATTTGAAATACGCAATACAAACACTAATACATTAAGAGTATGCATAAGCTTATGTTTTCCGTATACGCGCAAGAACTTTTGAAACGAAAGTACATCCTTTCTTTTAGAACTTATTCGTGCATTGATGGTGATTCGATAAAGTCTATATAAGCCGTTCATTGTTAATTCGCTTGTTACGTAGCATTGAATGTTCCGTACATTCTGTGCATTACATACCAAAGGCAAGTGGACAAGTTTAATTGACATCTGAGTATTGCACTTTCCGTTCATTTCTTTAAAAGGAATACTTGTATTTCTAACCCTAATCAAAACCACCACGAAATTTGTAAATAACAAGTTCGTTTACTGTTAAAGCTGTGAATAACATATAAACGTGCAATTATTATACCAATTGGTATGATGCAGTCCAAGACTTGTTTAGTATATTCTAAATCATACAAACGAGTCTCTAAATCGTTCAAATGAAGATAAGATTTTCAAAAAAAAAATGTTGGAATTCAGATGGGCGCTAACTGTGCTCCTGTTTAGCCAACTTGTTATTTGTATAGTGATTAAGCACAATGTATTCAAATCTTCTACTTAAGAAGGAAAAAAATTTCCGTGGCTTTCAATTTGATAGTAACTAAGGATATATCGACGACGAATTATTAAATAACAATCATAATAATTACTTTCATTCATATGTCGACTCGATATATTCCATATATATAACTTGAATTAAAAGACACTACAGAATATGCCATATTTGTTCCATATTAAGATAATATACTGTCCATAAAAGATAAAGACCGACTAACAACTAAATTGTATGATAAACGAATTGACTTCAGCTTTTCCATCGTCAACTTTCCTTCTTTGTGTAGGAATATCATCAGTAAATGGTGCGTATATCTTCCAACTTATTGGATACTTAATTTTTAAACCAAGGCAGGCTACTGACAAAGTCAAAGTTACAGGGATGTCAAAACCCCCCGTTTAGAATCATAATTTCGTTAATTCTATGGTTGTTATAATGACCCTTTTAGCAAATATAGCTTAGCTATGGAACATTTTTATGTTATACGTTTTTAATGTGATAATGGAATGTACTTTCTACCTGACCAAAAAACAGGGCTCACAATGAGCGTGTCCTATCAAGAGAGGATGCTTACTCCGTCTAGTCACCTGATCCCACCTCTGGGATTTCTAGGGGGTACTTGTTTGATGCTCTCTTTACATATTTGTTATGTTTATAGATCTATTAGATACTCTTTTGGATCGATCATGTTCGTTATCTACACCTTTTTAAAATCAAAAGCATTCCAAAATTTAAAACAAAATCGTTATAACTGTATGCTAAACCATACAAATGAAGTTATAAATCGTGATTTAATTTTTTCTTCAAAATTGAAATTACACTTATACGCCGTCGTAGAAAAGGAGTTAATAGTTGAATATGTTTGCCACAATTAGAGTATATACCTTTTACCATTCAGAAGATAAGTGTTTTCGAAGAGATTGGCACAAGGATAACCAATTTGTTTCAAAAACTCTTTTTTCAGACCTACGATTTATTCTTGGATCCCTGCAATTCATAAACTATTAAGAGATTTTTTAGCTTATGATGAGAGATGTAAAAACCAAATGTTCTTACATTATTATATAGTACATTCCTGAATATTTTGTTCGATGCAAGAAACTTTGATTTTCATAGGCATAAAAAAATTAATAAACTTGAAACTACGAAACTTTTTAAGCAGTTAAGTTGCTAAGTTAGCAGATTAGAAGGCTAGAACAAATAAGTCGTTTATGTACATGTACTCGTACATTTGCATATTGGTTTTCAAATTTTCCTTAATTTTGATTTTTAATTTTCTCTACATCCTGTCTTTATGTGTTCATCATAAAGAACTATAAACACTTTTGGGGAAACAAGTATGGAATATCAATTTTACAGTTTTATATATGCAATAAAGAAAAAAATAATACAAGCCTTTGAAATTTATTCGGGAAAATAACATCTAACTTGTGTTCACATGAAAAAAACCTAATTATCAAAAAATTAAGTCATATTCTAAAAAATTCTTTTCAGGTTTTGTAATTTTTAACTGCGAAAATTGGTTTGCACGTGATGTATAAATTTTTTAACCGAAAAAACCGACACTATGATAATTTCGATTACCAATCCCTTAAGCAAACACTTGGAGATACTTTGTTAAAAACACATACGTACAGTCATCCATAATGTACAATAGACTCCTTTTAATTGTTACTTCGGAAAAAAAGGAGAGAAAAGGTCGGCGCAATATATATAGATCAAAAATCGTTGGCGTTTGTCTTGAAACAGGAGCTTTACAGACTTTTTACATTGTTATTTGTATATGATTTCCGCTTGTTTCTTTGTTGATAACCTTGAAGAATATAAACACGGCGAGTGTATTGTTTATATTTCTATAGAAATGTTTCCAAGCCAGTGATGAAACATCTTTTGGCTGTGTAAATTACGAGAAATCAATGAGAAAGTGATAAATAAAATTCTTTGCTGCTTATCATGGCTATACATTGTGTTTATAATTATTACTTGTTTTCGAGGCTTTTAGAATTTTCTGGACCAGTGGTTTTACTGGTTATCTTATCAGTATACCAGAAATTAAAAAGTAAAATTATTGATGAAACGTGCTATGTTTTTGAATTACGCCTTTTGGGCTGGGCGGGTACTTTACAATAGAGGCTCTCTGTCCTACTCTACGTCCTTCTGTGGATGCAAAGCTAATTTCGGCATTTAGATCATTTTTCTGTTTTTAATTGTTTTCTTTTGGGTGGGGGGGGGAT